CCTACTAGATAAGTATTAGAATATTAAAAAGAGACCTACAAGCTAAGTATTTGAATGTTCAAAAAAACCTACTAGATAAGTATTAGATTGTTCAAAAAAAACCTACAAGATAAGTATTAGAATGTTAAAAAGAGACCTACAAGATTAGTATTAGAATATTAAAAAGAGACCTACAAGCTAAGTATTTGAATGTTCAATAAAACCTACTAGATAAGTATTAGATTGTTCAAAAAAACCTACAATATAAGTATTAGAATGTTAAAAAGAAACCTACTAGATAAGTATTAGAATATTAAAAAGAGACCTACAAGCTAAGTAATGAACTAAGAATGAACATAAAATTTAAGAAATTTAACATTGGCCAATAAGAGCATATATTCATCAGTAGATATACCTGGTGTCATAAATAACATAACAGGATCCATATATAATCCTATAAATCCAAAAAACTTAAGTAATTATCCATAAATATGCAATAAATTACAAATAATTACTTAGTGTTAAGAATTTTCCAATTTTCCAGATTTTACAGGGATTCTGTTGTAACTTTATGACACTAGGTAAGTTCACTGATGAATATATACTCATATTGACCATTCTTGAGAATTTGAATTTTATGTTCATTGTAAGACGTAGTATCACTTTGAGACCTACAGGATAAGTATTTAGATGTTAAAAAGAAACCTACAAATAATTGTTTGAATGTTGAACACAATCCTGATATAATCGCTGAACAATAATATCTATGCTGAAAAATGAAATACATTTACTTGTTTAAGACAATTGTGAATAATAAAACATAATTATGGCAAATATGCAAAATGATGACAATAGTACACCACCAATTTGGTTCAAACATGTTTAGATTTTATACCAAGTTGAACAATACAATATGGTAGTCTCTATAGTGTAGAGAAATAATCAGAAAATTGTTGACTTTCTTTTCTCAACTCATTCAAACTGTAATTACACAAAATATTGATTTTTATACATGGTTACCATGACTACAGCACTTCATACTGTCATTGTGTGATTGAAAGGCTTTTATCTCAAGGTAGAAAATAAAGTCAACTTGGAAGTTTGCCAAGTGTTTCTGGCCACTTGCCAACAAATGTGTTATGGTCTCCACCTTACAAATGAATAAATGGTTTCAAGTGTATATTGAATTGAAACAGTTGAACAAGCTTTGTTAGGTTTAGTTTACTATAGATCTAACAATGACTAATATCAGTGTGATATGAAAATAATGGCTTTTACAATTGCTGTCGATGGATAAATACTATTGACAAGCTGCCATATTCTGAAAAGATTTTTTGTACCCTAGACCATTTCAGTTATGTTGACAATCATGTTGGTTATTGAGTGTATATCTTCGGTTTAAGATTCAAAACTTTGTGTTAAAGCAAAGTGACTTCATACCAAAATGTAAGAAATTTTGTCTTGCAGAATATTCCTTTAATTATGATGAAAACTGCAAAAAAGTTTCTTCGATTTTGATCATAAATTTAAGAAAATGATGCAAAATTTCAGAAATTCTTTTATGTTTCTAATAGTTCAATTGAGTTCAATTTGATTATAATTTTGTTGTCCAGAAGTGGTAGCTAAGTCATGTGACATAACTTTCTATGCAATAGAAATTTTAATAGAATTCAGTATTAGAAATTCAATCCATAGTCAATTGGACAAAGTGGCAATGTCCTTTAGAGTGCAAGCATCTTGAGCTTTTGCAAATACTGTATATTTTTTGTGTATGTGCACTAAAGACAGTTTAGTTATGTGTATAACAAAAGATCCACATTTCATGATTAGAACCATTAAGGCCTAGTGACAATTTTTATCCATGTATATTGTAGTAGATTAATACGATGAAGGTTAATCTACTACAATATACATTGTACATATTAATCTTTGTTATTCTGAGAAAGGCAACAATCTAGTAGGAATTGTAAACAAATGGAGAATGATACATGTAGTAATTTAATACATAATTACACCTTAAACATAACACTTTATCATTTGACATTTTATTAACAACCTTGAATGAACTGATATTTAGTTTCAGTAGACTGACAATGTGAGAAATTATCCTGTGTGAATTTATCTATTATTTATGTTAAAGTTAAATCTGACATATTTTTAGTTATATATCTATATATAATTTAATGTATTATTCAGATTCATATTAGAATATTGATCACTGAAACTCTTGATGAATAGAGAAAATCTGTAACATTCTGATAATTAAACATTTCTGGAAAGTTTTAATATGCAAAGGTGTTACAATATAACTGATAAAATTAATAAAAGAGAAGAACAATTGAAATAAATAAATGACATGGATTTTGTTATTGTCATGAAAATAAATGCCATTTAAGAATCAGTTAATAAATTCATGAATAATTTTCAAACTGCTGTTATGTCTGCTTTTGTGCATTATGGTACATTAAAAATAAGACTCCTCTTGAAATATGAATTTGTACTGAATTACCCTGCCATGATTGGACTAAACTGTCCTGCTTTGATTGGACCTTTTTCCTATATTAGATTAAAATGCCTCGATTGCAGCAATCTGAAGTAAATGTAGTTGTTTTACCTCGCCTTGAACTATCCTGCTTTGAATCAGCTACTGTCATGCTTTGATGAGACCATTCTGCTTTTGGACAGTCAACTCAAAATGAATTGCTGATATTGATAATTGATGATATATGGTAAACACTATAGTAATTGATGACATGATCAGATTATTGTAACTGAAAATGTGTAATAAGGACTATTGTAATTGATATAGATAATGTATATGGACAATTGTAATTGAAAATGTATTATAATGACTTTTAATTCATGATTTATGATAAGGTCTATTATAATTCATAATTTATGATAAGGACTAATATAATTCATGATATATGATAAGGACTGATATAATTCATGATATATGATAAGGACTAATGTAATTCATGATTTATGATAAGGACTAATATAATTCATAATTTATTGTAAGGACTATTATAATTCATAATTTATGATAAGGACTAATGTAATTAATGATGTATATGATAAGGACTATTATAATTCATGATTTATGATAAGGACTAATATAATTAATGATGTATATGATAAGGACTATTGTAATTCATGATTTATGATAAGGACTATTGTAATTCATGATTTATGATAAGGACTAATATAAGTCATGATTTATCATCAGGACTAATATAATTCATGATTTATCATCAGAACTATTGTAATTCTTAATTTATGATAAGGACTAATATAATTCATGATTTATGATAAGGACTAATATAATTCATGACTTATGATAAGGACTAATATAATTCATGATTTTATGATAAGGACTATTGTAATTCATGATTTATGATAAGGGCTATTGTAATTCATGATTTATGATAAGGACTGATATAATTCATGATTTATGATAAGGTTTAATATAATTCATGATTTATGATAAGGACTAATATAATTCATGATATATGATAAGGACTAATATAATTCATGATTTATGATAAGGACTGATATAATTCATGATTTATGATAAGGACTATTGTAATTGGTAATGTATGGTAAGGACTATTGGAATTGATGATGTATGATAAGGACCACTGTAATTGATAAATGTATTATGACTTTTGATTCGTGATTTATGATAAGGACTATTATAATTCATGATTTATGATAAGGACGGTTGTAATTGATAATGTATGATAAGAACTATTGGAATTGATAATGTATGATAAGGACCAATGTAATTGATAAATGTATGAAAAGGAATATTGTAATGGATTATGTGTGACAAGGATTTTTGTAATTGATAATGTATGATAATGAATTCATGTATTGTAATTGATAATGTATGATATATTAAATGCTGTCGGTATTGATGATATATATGTTAATGATGAAATGTAATAAGTATTATTTTTTTTCTGTAATTACAGTCAAGATGAAAACAGTCGACATGATACAAATGATAATAGTGAGTTACCTCCACCAAACAATTTATCAGATTCTGAGTTCAACAGAAGTAGACCGAGGGAAAAGAAATATGATAAATCAAATCAGAGCAGGTAGGTTGATTGTTTAATGAAATAAATCTCTGACTTCCATAAAAGTAATTACTTCTTCCATAAATATAAATATATAACTGAAGCTCCAACTTTAGTAGAAAACTTTCATAAATATAATGAACTGAAGCTCCAACTTTAGTAGAAAACTTTCATAAATATAATGAACTGAAGCTCCAACTTTAGTAGAAAACTTTCATAAATATAATGAACTGAAGCTCCAACTTTAGTAGAAAACTTTCATAAATATAATGAACTGAAGCTCCAACTTTAGTAGAAAACTTTCATAAATATAATGAACTGAAGCTCCAACTTTAGTAGAAAACTTTCATAAATATAATGAACTGAAGCTCCAACTTTAGTAGAAAACTTTCATAAATATAATGAACTGAAGCTCCAACTTTAGTAGAAAACTTTCATGAATATAATGAACTGAAGCTCCAGCTTTGATAAATGTAATAAAGTTTCAACTTCAGTAGAGCTTACACTTATGGAACTCTTTACCTTGATCTTTAAAGAAACTCGATAAAGTATTTTGGCAAATTTAAAAAACAACTCTTTTCTTTCTTGAAAAAATAGAACAACATAATCAGATGAATAATAAATGTATATAAATATAACTGTTAATAGTTCTACTGCTTTAGCGATTCTAGTTTGGTTATTTTAAGTTTCTTTTGTATTATATGTTGTGTTCCTTTGAAGGGCAAAATTGTAAAAAGGCCAGGCAGAATTTTCACTGTATTAAAGATTTTATTGTTATTATTATTATTATTATACTTTGGTAAATATAATGAACTAAAGAAATGGCAGTATATTCTGAAAAAAAACTCGAGCTCCAGTAAATAGAATAAACAATATCTTCAATAGATGGTTAGATTTGTTATTCTACATACAGTAATAACATAGTAATTGTGTTTTAGGAGTGTAACTGGTGATGGTAGTGAAAGGAATCCAAGTGGAAGTAAAAGTGACTCAAGTGGATCCCGATCTAGCAGTAGTAGCTCTAGTTCATCTTCCAGTAGTGATTCACCATCACCATCTAGAAGGTAAGTTCAGTCTGCCTCTTACATTACAATAAGTTATCATGCAATTTAATTATGTATTATAAGTACATGTACATGAATGAAAGTGATCTGAGCAAAAATGTTGCATCATTGTGTTTTGTTTCCATATAAGTTAAATGAAATATACAACTATATTTATATTTATTAAATTAGAAATTTAATATGGAATTGAAATGTTTATTTATTTGTTTAGTCGTGCCAGCAGTCCAAATAGCATGAAACCTCCAGTGAAGAGGAGATCATCAAGTCAGACTGGTATAGGAAGTAGTAAATTGGTAGAGAAAGCAGCTAGTGAAGCTGGTTCAACTAGTACACAACCTACTAACTCAGATAAACGTCAAGTTGGCATCTGTGTGACCAAACTGCCAGCTAGATCTAGTGGTAGGAATCCAATCTTCTTTGTTCCATGGCAATTTTAATTTGACAATGTCATGTCGACACAGTGATATTAACCAATATCAATAGCAGCCCGTCTGATGAATGAGTCAATTCTCCTAATCTAGAAAACTAGCACTTTGAATCGAATGTCCTATTTTGACTTACTATGTTAATTTTGATATTATAATTTTAGATACCAGTTTAAGAGATGGTTTATTTCATGAATATAAGAAACATGGTAAAGTTACCTCAGTGCATATTAACAAAGCAGATGATGGTGAAAGATTTGCTATTGTTAGTTTTAGAAAGTAAGTTTATTATTTTGATATATAGCCAACATATTAATAATATAATTAGTAATAAATTAGTAACAAAGTAATATATTAATAATCCAAGAAAATTATATGACATCTTATTATGAGTTGGGACTACATATATTGTTGTGATTGTTATTTTACTATCGTCACAGAATTCTACATATTACATTAAATTTTGCAGACCAGAAGATGCATCAAAAGCTATGGAAGCTTCCCAAGATAAAATGTTTTTTGGTACCAAAATTAGTGTGAAGCCACATGAGGGTATTGGTTAGTATAGTTTGTATTTGTAAGCTTTTTCATTCAGTTTCCATCATTTAGAACCTTCACAACATCAAATTGGACATGTCGGCTTATGTATATGCCAGATATATATGTAGAGGTTATTTGGTAAAATGCCTTTTATTGTGAGATATTGATCTATAAGATCTAGTTGTGCTCCTACAGAAGCATTCATTGTGTCTGAAACAATTGGTTTGCAATATTTTTAGTGGTAACTACTTAAGAACTGTATTTTGTTGTTGATAGAAATATGTACGTAAATGAAAATGGAATCCTGGATATAAAGTATAAAGGTGTGTTGTAACATCTTTCAGGTGTTAATATAGGTGGTAATTTTGAGTTTATATAACTATTCTTACACTATCCAGGTGATAATATGGCTTTATATTATATTTTATGTTTGTCATAGGATTTTTATTTCTATTTTATTAATAGAAGCTGATGATGCTGATTTCCGTCCAATTGAAACCGAGTTAGATGAATTTCATCCGAAATCTACACGAACTTTATTTGTGGGAAACCTAGAAAAGGAAACATCTATACAGGAACTAGTTGATAAATTCCGACCTTATGGTGACATTATAGTAAGTATGAAGGTAATATACATCAAATTAAATGAGGCTAGGGATGTTCAGAGATAGATATATTAGTTAAGTGTTTAAAATATTGTTGTACATGGATATAAAGGCTATTATATGGTGTTGACTATTTATTTCAGGATGTAGATATAAAACGTCAGGGAGCTGCCTCAGCCTATGCTTTTGTTCAGTATGCTGATATTGTTAGTGTTGTTAAATCTTTACGTGCAATGGAAGGAGAACATATTGGTGCCAATAAGATAAAGGTAATTTTGAAAAGTTTTAATTTAGGTTTGTCTGCTCAACTTTTCCTTGCCCACTTTATTGTCTGTACTGTTCTAATTGTCTTTATTACCGTTTTTCTTCTGAGACATATTGTCTCTGATCATGACTTGATCCTTATATTTAAGGAATGAATGTGGATCTTGTTATCTTTATGGGTAAATAAACGCTGGTTTATCATGTGACAAGACGTACATGACCAGCTTCGCCGGGTCATTGTCTTGTCACATGATAAACCAGCGTTTATTTCCCCATAACAATAACAAGATCCACATTCATTCCTTATATTTACATTGGTTTATCTTTTCTGATAAAATACTCCAAAATGTTTGAATTTAATTGTAAAAATACCTGAAACCGTTGTTGCTTAATTCACCGATATCTGTCAATCAAGTTCACCGCCCCACCCCTAACAATATAGTTCTATGAACCAACAGTCTTATTAAAACGGAATCTGTTTAATATGTCTTGATTTAAAATACTTGTTAGAAACCCTCTCAAAATTGCTTTACAATTTTAGGTAAAAAACTTGGGTCAATCCTTGTTTCCGTTTTCGATGTATTCATATGCCTTATTGTCACGTGACAAACTTATTGGAAATGTAAATATTAGGAATAAAACATGAATAAGTTATAGGTGTAAAATGAGGTTATGCAGTATCTAGGACTATCCTAAAACAGAATTATATGATTAAACTATTTAGTTAGTGATCAGTTTCTTAATTATGGGAACATAGAAATATATAACAGATGGGAATGGGATCAATATTTAAGATATTTTTGTAAAATGATATTAAAAGAATAATTACTGTTGGTAGACTTTAAGCAGCGGAAGCTAAAATGTGCAAAATGACACTTTCAACCTGTTGGCATGGTAACTGTGTAGACAATTAGCAATATACTTAGTTTTCTGTTCATCATTATCTGAAATTCAGTTCAATTAATTTTTAAATATAATGATAATAACATTTACCATCTGAAACTAGGTATATTAAAGAACTGTATTCCATAACAGTTTATTAATTATATTGGCTCAGCTGAAGCAACTATTTTTCTTGATAACTTTCTAATACATTGATTGTCTTTATTTCTCTTCATTTTCAACATGAACATGATTTTAAGGTTGACATACAAGTTCAGCAAATTTCAATTTAATTTATTATGAAATTCAAATGATGTTATTTGAAATGAAACATGGATGAGAAAATAGAGAGTTATTGTAGGTTATTTATGTAATATTATACTGATGATATTGAGTGGTGATTTAGAATGTAATTCAATGATTATATCTTGGGGGGTAACAGACTATAACACCTGATAACTGTTATTTATGATTCTAAATTTCTAATCTATAAATCATTTAGAGTGTTTATTCTATAATAATTAATTTTCTCATATATTATCAGTTAATAGAAGGCTTTTTTCAAGGTTTCAAAGTTTTTAGCATAAATATTTTGTAATTGATCATTCCATTGCCTTTCTTATTTTGCTAAGTTTTACAAGATACATGTTATTTATGAATATATTTTAATTTATTATAAAGTTACGAAATATACATAAAGGGATATTTTAGTGTTCCTTGACATTTTCCAATGAAAAACATACAGCTGTTTTGTGAATGATAAAGTATATTGACCATATTTTGATATTGTTTCTTTCAGTTGGGGTTTGGAAAGAGTATGCCGACTAATTGTGTTTGGATAGACAATATCAGTGAAAATGTGTCGGATACTTATTTAAATAGACAATTCAGTAGATTTGGTGAAGTCACCTATAGTATTATTGATCGTGTGAAGGGTAGAAGTCTAGTTTATTTCACAAATATGGAGAATGCAATTTTTTCTGTGGGTGAAATGAGAGCAAGGAGTTTAGGTGGCAAGAAGATTCATGTAAGTTACAAAATTTTTGTTATTCTAATTCCAAAATGTATAGCTCTCTTTGAACCATACTGAATCTTACCTTATTAATAAAAGTTCATTCTATTAAACTGTTTTATTTTTAAATTATTTTCTTAATCACACAATCCTTATTACAGATTGATTTTGCGAGTCGCGAGTGTCAAAATAAATTCTTTGAGAAAATGGAATCAACCGGTCAGCTGAGGCCAGGTGAAAGACCAGATGAAAGGGGGCGTGGTGGGGTGCGGCGATCTCAATCTCGAGATTATGAAAACTTCAGTGATGATAGGTAAGAATGGATTTCAGTTGTTTGTGATATACAATTTTAGTTGTTAGTGATATACATCACATCATACTTTATGTGAGTTCTTGGTGGTATTAACAATTTTACCTCAGCAAAATGATATGATTATATCAATTGGTATGTATTTTGTGCAGGGTAAAATTTTTTCTTAATATCTTTTCACCTCTTTCTAGCCATGGAAGTTACAGCCAGACTCCAAGTATAGCGACCAGCAGAACTAAAACTTATTTCCCTGCACGAAGGGCTGCATCACGTAGTTCACGATATAGAAGTGGTGAAACACCAACATTTTCTGAAGAGTTTTCATCATCACGTAGAGCTAGGTAATAACATTAAACTATAATAACATTCATCATTACTTGAACATTATTTCCTTTTTCTGATGAATCTTATGAAAATGATTGTAAAGTCATGATTTTAGATATTCTTTTTTCTATTTTCAGTCGACATTCAGATGAATATTCTAACAGTGGTGATTATTATAAAACAGATGATACATATGAACAAGAATTAAGAGAATATGATAGGAGTAGGCGAGAGAGGCGTGAACGAAGTAGTCCTAGTAGACGTGATGAAAGACATTTATCTATAAGTTTTAATGATAGGTGTCACCATAGATCACGGGATGTATCATTAGATGGCTATGACAGTAAAGATCATTATGATCCATATCGTGATAGTGATAGTGCTGGTAGTGATAGGAACTCGTATCAATCTGATAGTAAATATCACAATCGAAACATTGACGATAAATCATATTCACATACTAAATATATTAGTGATAAAGGTCGCTGTCATGACCTAGATGTTATAGGTGATGGTGATAATGCTTCTCGGAGTCAGTCACCATCTTCTTTTCATAGTCCCAGTCGAACTCCCATACCTAGGAGGTCATCAACACCTCCAACCCCTACAGAAGCTGAACCACCTATATATAGGGGTTTATATTATGGTGACACGGATTATAAACGGAAATCACGTGTTGAAAAACCAACAGAATTTGTGCAACACCCAGTTCAAAGTGAAACAGTTAGTAAAAGTTTACATAGTGTTGTGTGTAAACCAGTAACCGATGTTCAAAAACAGGATAAAAGTGCTACACGTAAACGTCCATATGGTGATACAATATTATCTAAGGATACCTTACGCTCAGATTACAAAATTCCACGTAAAATAGATACATTAAACTCTGTAGTGTCAAAATCTCAAGAACGCAGTCGGATTGAGAAAAAAATAAAAAATACAGACAAAAAATTAGAAAAAGCTAAACACGCAAAACAGGAAAAGCGATTATCAGCTGTTGAAGCTAGTTTTATTATGTCTAGTTCACCTGGATCTTCAGGTAGTCGACCAGATTCCGAGAACAGTTCTGTGGGTGAATCTGACTTGTTAAAATTAACTCAGGAAAAGAAAAATTTAATTCAGAAACTTCAACAATTAGAAGATGGGGGAAGTACTAGTGACAATGAATCTAACGAGGATGTACGTAATGTAATTGCTCGAAATCAGAAAAGTGCTTTGACTAAGTCCTTATTTATCAAAGATAATTTTAAGTGTAAAGAACGTAAACATGATTCTAGTAACTGTTATCGATTATCCATGGATAAATTGCATGGAAAATTACATGGTAGTAAAACTGTAGAGAATTCTGTGAAAATTAATTTTAATGGTGATGAGAGTGATACAGAAGAATATGCTGATGATTCACCTAAAGAAGTCTCACCAGAATTCAAACCTGTGAAACGTAGAAAATTAGACAATGAGAAAGGTCGAGGTGGCTACAGACAGAAAGGAAGTACATTTAGTAGTGATGATGATATGGATACATCTACGTCATTTAATCGGAAAACAGAAACATCCTCATACTTTCTTCATCGTATAGACTCAAACAATGAACAGAAAAAAATTGTGGACTGTGATGAAATCCAGAACAAAATTAAGGACTCCAAACATGACACATGTGATAACCTTGTAGGTGTTAAAAGTAGAAGTGCTCAGTCTCCTGAAAAGGATCAATCATTCACTCGACCGTCTGATACATCACGGTCACGTTTACATTTAGACATTGGACTTGATACAAAATCTGGTGATATTGCATCCCCATTAAGTCCACCTATTGGAGGTGATAAACTGTCTGTGAATTCGCTCAATAAAGATAATAAATCTAAAAGCTCGGAAGATCTTAGTGCTCCAACAGATCCCCGGTTAGATGAAAAAAGACTAGGAAATGATTCTAGATATGCCAATATACTCTCTAATTCTGTTGATGACACACATCAATCTAAATCAGTAAAGCACGATGATTCATTATCAGATAGCAGTGTTGAAGAATCAACTGCCCCAGGGGAACTTTCAATATCAGAAAGAATTCGTTTGCTGGATGCCCAACTTGATAAGACACCAGATGCACCAGCTGTTCCTCCTGGTGCTTTGACAACTTCGGCTTTAGCACAAACTCCAACTATTAGTTCTAATTTGCAGAACTACAGCAAGTTCAAAATAAAGAAGAAAGGGGACAGTTCTGGAAACACTTCAGGCAATCAAGGCTCTGACAGTAAAAATGAGCCATCTGACATTGTCAGGCAGTTAATCAGCAGACGAACTGGCAGTATTTTGGACCAAGATTCGCAAAGGCTTGAAGAAAGAAAAACATCACCACCTGTAAAAACAAAAGCAGAATTCAAAGAAATTTCTATTCACACTAACACTGGTCATTGGCAGGGTTCTATGGGAGGAATGAGATTTCAGCCTGCTGAAGGAGCTCATCCACAGATATCACAGCAGCAGCCAGTCAATTCAACACCAAATATGGCGTCAAATTTGGCAGCAACTAATACACCGGTTCAGCATATGTCTCTTTCTCCCGGATCTCAGTTTTCAGCATCCTTAACATCATTCCATCCAACTCAAAGCTCACAAGCGTTTGCATCTTCTGGTCTTCCTGGGAATCCTACATCTGTGTTATCTTATACAGCAGTAAGTGATGCCAGTACACCTGTCATTTCTCAGACTGGTCCACCACTCCCACCACTTACTGGAACTACTCCAACAATTCAAGTAACATCTGCTGCTCATCACCAACATGTCTTAACAGCTGTTCCTGATCAGCATACTGTTAAATCTTCTTCTATACCTGTAGTACAGCCATCACCACCTATGATGTCTAATTTGAGTCCTGGATCCATACAAAGTCGAATGATGTCGGGTCCTGCTGGAACATCCCTTAGTCCACAATCGATTCAGCCTATATTTGGAGTACACATGGGATTTCCCCAACATGTAAGACCAGAATCTATGAAACCAACTGGATTGTTTAACAAGAAACCCTCTGATACAGTAAATAATGTTCAGATTACATCAGGTATGCAGACAGAACACCATGGAACATCTGCATTAAAAAGAGTGGAGTCTTTACCATCAACTTGTAGCTCTGTAACACCATCAAGTCCATTTATTGCCAAATCAAGTCCACCTGTTTTGAAAAAAGAAATTGATATTCCTGACACTTCAGCTTCACAACATTTTTTATCTCCGGAGCAACCTAAATATGGTTCATTGGATAACCAATATTTGAAAAGTCCTGCCATTTCCCAACCATCATCACAATTTGGATTTCAACAACAAATCCGACCAGAGGTTTTTAAACCTTCAGGTTTGTTTAGTAGACGTCCATCTGATGTTGTGGCAAGTGTTCAGATTCCACCAGGAATGAATGCTGATCCACTTAATTCTCAAGGGATAATAAAAAGAACAGATTCATCATCTTCAAGTACACCAAGTACTCCAGCATTGACTGAAAAAAGAGATAATTTGTTTGTGAAAACTCAGCCTCCTGTACTCAAGAAAGAAACAGAGCTCATGGAAAACTTTGGACAGCCACCCCCAACACTTCCAGAAGAACCCCAATCAATTTCATCTACAACTGTTATAAAGCCTACAGGACACAGAACAAAAACTGAAGAAGATAAACAGAAAAGTCTCAAGACTTCAACATCACATAGCTCTTCTTTTGATCTTTTTGAAAAGAAAATTGAAATTTTTCACGAAAAGAAACCAGAAGTTAAGAAACATTCTGAATCTAAAGAACACGGCAAGAAAGAGAAGCATGAAAACAAAGATGGCGAGAAAAGCAGTAGTCATTCAAAGAACAATTCTCCTGATAAGAAATCTAAGTCTAAAGAAGATAAAAAAGAGGGTGATAAGAAGCAAGAGAAAGATAAAAGCAGACATCATTCTGGTAATAAAGACAAATCTGAAAAGTCTTCAAAAGAAAAAGAAGCATCATCATCTAAAGAAAAGACAAAGTCGTCAAAATCTAAAGATTCTGAGAAGAAAGATAAGGAACATGGAAGTACATCTGACAAATCAAAGAGTCAGGAAGCAAAGAAAAAAGAAAAGAAAGATAAAGAAGATAAGAAAGAAAAAGATGATAAAAAATCTGATGATAAACATGACAAATACGACAAAAGGCATGATGACAAAGACAAGGACAGGAGAACTGATGATGGTAAAAAAGAAAAGTCCAAACATTCAGAAAGCAAATCATCCAAAAATAAATCTGATTCTGCTGAAACAAAACCTGACAAGACATCAACATCATCAAAATCTAGTGAGTCCAAGTCTGAGTCCAAAGATAAGGATAAAAGCATCAAAGACTCGAAAGACTCGAAAGACTCAAAAGATTCAAAAGATTCAAAAGATTCCAAAGAACACAAGAAGCACTCATCTTCATCCAGTCATAGTAAAGATA